TGTCTGTATGTTGAGGCTCTGCAGTATGATGCAGTTTATACAGTGCATTTTCTTTTGTAAACCCAAAATGCTACATTCAGACATTTCACTTCTTCGTTTAAAATTACAAACATTCTCTTACCCAGTTTAGAAACCTTCTTCTTGAGTCAGTTTGGTCTAACTGGTCAGTAACTGGTATCTCTCTATTGTCTGGTTGGTGTAATTGGCCTATAACTGGTCTCTTCCTACAGTCAGGTTGGTGTAACTGGTCAGTAACTGGTCTCTCTCTGCAGTCAGGCTGGTGTAACTGGTCTGTGATCAGTCTCTCTATAGTCAGGTTGGTGCAACTGGTCTGTAACTGGTCTCTCTCTGCAGTGAACTTGATCCACAGCACTGTGGTGGCAGCCAGCAGAACACACAGCAGCCCCAGAAACATCTGCTTTCTGCAGCATCAATTCCTGAAACTAGAATTGATTTTATAGTACGTACTTATGCCATTACACAATTTAGAACCTTCATAGAAATGTACTGATCAGGGAAACCATTAACTATAACCAGGTATGTGCATTTGAGGTCGCAGATTAACATCACATGTCACATTAGTCTCCAGAATGTCTTCATTTACATAGAAATCTTCATGTCAATTCTTGCTTTCAGTTGAATGAGTCAATCATTTCTCTGCTGTAATTCCTGAATTTCTATATATATCCTCTCTCATCTCTGGTTCTGTGCTCTTCCGTAATAATGCTGGAACTGGTAAAATAAAAAACAGATTTCAGTCTTGTCTCTTCTAATAATTGCAGACTACAGTCACCACAGTGCCGAGCCCTCAGAGTAACTCTGTGTCTGTGGTATTTAGCAATCTATGTGCTGTTCTCAGAACAGGAAGCTGAGGTGAGAGCCAGCGTATACAAACCACACCACCATTACTGCTTTTGCTTTTGACACTCATGGGCGTCACTATAGATTGATAGAAAGAGAACTTAGCCTTGACTGAGGGGGGTGTGGGGGCATGCTCCCCCCAGGAGGATGTTTTTAATGGGCCCAAAATGGGTTTTCATCATGAATGTTTAAAGTAGCAATAGGCAGAAAATTGATCAAAGAATTTGATAATTGAGAGAAAATAGTGTGATTCTGTTCTGTAGTTGCCCTTACATGTTTAATAGTCTAGATCATATGGTGATAGTGACATTTGACAGCATAGAAGTTATACTTTCTCAATTATTTTTTTATGTAAGTCTCACAAATGAGGATATATTAAGGGAATTGCATGTCTACAAATTCAGTATCCATTTTATCTGGTTTAAAAACACCCACTTTCTTCTTGATCACTAGCCTTTATTAGTCCCGTTTCTTCGGCTCTCAGTCTCTGTGCTCTCAGTGTTTAGTAATGTTATTTTAATTAAACTCAGATTTACAGATTTATAACTCACAGATCAAACACAACACCAGTATATGTTACACATAGTAAAAGCTCATGTGGACTTGTGGTCCACAACTCAGAAACCCTGGTCAAAAAATGTTAGAGCAGTGAACAATTACAAGGATTGTAGCAGTTTGAAAAGCCTTTATTAGTGGAACCATATATTGCTTATTTGTTGCACTAAACAGTCTCTCCTGTATTGCACTAAAATCAAAGAATATTTTTTGTGAATATTTTGTTTATTTCTGACTTTACATTTTACTCCAAAAGCTTGCTATATAAGAAATGTCTTTTGAAACATGTAGACACAAAAACAAGAAAAAAAACAAAAAACAAAGTCACCTTCAGTGGACATCACAGAGACAGGGGAAGGAGGGCGAAACAAACATGCTGGTGACACATATCAAGCTTGCCTTGGAAGAAGCCCCTACAGTATTGTAATGTTACAGAACAGTGAAGTAGTAAAGAAAAGACAATTCACTCCAAAAGGTCTGGACTGATTGTATCCAAATAGGACAAGAAAAGTTGCCATATTTTGTAATATTGACTGATCAAACTGTGAATAGTGTACTTTATTTCTTCCAAGTCTAAGAAAAGCTCGAGTATCCAGTGAGAATAAGTAGGGGGGTTATCCTTTTTCCACTTTAAGAGAATCAAGCATCCAGCAACCAGTGTCACTAAGGTGACATTTGTGGGCAGGCAAATGAACAGATTCAGATAGTACCCCAAAGATCTCTGTGAGAGGAGATGGATTCATGGGTTGGCCAGCACATCTGATATTGTAGTGAAAACTGCATTCTTTCTGGACTTCTATGAAGAACAAGTCCATTGGCACTGCCCTGGTGACACCAGGTTGGGTCAATATCTTGATCAATCCTAGATTATAGTTTCATGTCCAGTGCACACAGAAGAAGAGTGGACGTGGTGTAAGACAGTGTTTTAAAGAGTATCTGATAACTCTACAGCCAAATCTTCAGCCCATAATTTGACACAAAACATGTAGTTTATAGACCTGGAGAAATTTTAAAGAGAGCATCTATAAGAGACTGCGATGAAATATGAGGGAAACCAGTATAAACCTTTCTACAAAAGATCTTATACCACTTTACAGATTCTGAAAGTCCCATATTGAGTCCATATTTTAAGTGTGTTCTAAACTATGAGATTTTTAGAACAGACCGAAGTGCCGGAGAGGGTGGGAGTGGCAAGGGCACAAGAGGAGGATTCTATATGACACCAAGCTGGTAGAGGATTTAGGACCATCAGATGGATATTAGGTGCCCAGTAATAAAATAAAAAAAAATTAGGTAAACCCTTTCCACCCAAATACTTAGAGATAGATTTAAGTAGGGTCCTTCCAAATATATATTAAGATAGCAGCATTCAGCTTGTTATAGAAATATTAAGGAATAAAGATAGGGATACATCAAAACAAATAAAGAAACTTAGGGAGAATATTCATTTTCACTGAGCTAGTAGGTTCAGCTAAGGATCGCAGTAAAAGAGGCCAAAGAGACCAGCGCTTAAGATCAGCTTTAACACAGCCAAAAAACTTGAGACAATTTGACCTAAAAAGTTTACGTGTTAAGACAACTACAACATACAGTAAATAGGTGAGACTCTTGTTTTCTTGTAAAGATATGAATGGAAACAAAACGGTTACATTTTTCAAACATGCAGTGGTGAAACTGGCCAAACCAGAATAGTGTTTCTCTGTGGTATGTAGGTAGATAAAGCTAAGTGATCTCTCCTACTGGTTAGGACTTTAGGAGCTGAAGAGAAGACCTAACATAATTGCAAAGTGATGGAGGAATCAACCAATCACATCTTCATTTCTGCTCTAGGCAGGAAAAAAATTGTGAGAAGAAAATTCACAGTGGGTCTTCTGGAAGTTCTAGATACGTCACTCACTGAGTAGCCTAATCAGTTGGTTGTTTTAAACAGCAGCAGCTCTATACCAGCCTTTCTACTGAAAGAGTTGCTGTAAAGCTGCTACAAGGTTTAATATATGCTAATATGTTTGTCACAAGCTTTGAGTAAGCTATGGAATGTCTCTTAGAAGCTTCAGCTGTCTGTGTTTTATCTAGAACTGCTGAAAAATGTTCAAGTGAATCTCTGTTAGCTTAGCGCTAACAAATAGTAGAATTTCATAGGGCCTCTAGCAGACGTTAGCATTACCATAGAGATGTTTTGACTGAGTTTTGACTTTTATGGTCTGAATTGAAGGCCTAGCTCTAATAGTCATACCTTACTACTACATTTTTTGTAGTAGTTTTTTGTTTATTCAAAACTGTGGTTTGACTAGCTATAAATCTGTTTTTGCTAATTTGATGAATTGAGCTAAAGTTAACATTATCAACAAGAATGGCGTGGAACAGAAAAAAAAAAACATGTAAAAAGAGTGTAGGGCCAAAAGTTTCTACTGTGCCATCTTGAGGAGCTGCCCTACCCCTGCTCCAAATGGACTAAGGTTTGTTTTGAATGTTTATTTCCATCTTCATGGGCATAATATACCTGAACACTGTACCACTTTAACCTTGCATAATCTTGAAGCAGCTTGAGCTGATCAGTTCACCAACCAATCTGCACTAGCAGTAATGTTAGTGTCCTACTGACCAAAACCTTTTAATGTAACAAAAATGAAAAGATACTGATACATTTTCTTTGAATTTTGTTCATGGAATGCATCGCACTACTTTTTTGTAAATTAGAGGAACATCTTGAACAAATGGATAGAAATATGCTTAATTTTTTGTTTTTAGCTGTTTAGTTTTATTCACCATCACTCATTGAGGATTCGCTCGTGGGCACCCTCTGGCATTTTGCAGTCATGTTTTTCAATATAATAGGAGAAATAAGAAGTGGCCAGGCTCTCTGTAAACTGGCTGTGGTAGTGCTGAATGGTGCAGGTAAAAGTAATGTTTACACATGCATGACAATGATGCACACTACTCTTGTTTCATTGTTAAGTTTTAGATGGAAACAAAAGGGTTAAATTCTTTAAAGGCCAAACAGAACTTTTTTCTCTGTAGTATCTAGGTGGATACTGCTAAACAAGCTCTTCTATTGGTTACCACTTTCAGAGCTAAAGAGAAGGCCTAACACGTTCGATTCACTGCATAATTATGAAGTGGCAAAGCAATCAACCAATTGATTTCCAATAGTCAATAGTCATTCTAGGCCTTCTGTATAAATGTCAACCATTGTGGTGAATGTAGACTTTTTTATTGTCATTATTCTTGTGCTTTTTGTCATTTTTTGGTTTTATTTATATCCTTCCATCATTCCTTTTCTCTATTCTTATTTCCTTCTGTACTCTTCTTCATGTGAGCTCTCAAATAAAAAAAAGTCGAAGTAGGATTTTCAAGAGGAAGAAGTACGGGGACAAGAAGGTTAACCGTAAACTTTTGAATAATGAAAAAAGAGAAATGATACAATAACCATGAGATGAATCAATTACTATGAAAATCGTCAGCGCTTTCCCCGCAGTAGCTCCACAGAACACGTCCCTCTGTGGTTTCTTGCTCAACTTCCTGTCTGTAGTTAATGTATGAAACAACATATACAGAGTTCCACTCACATTTGAAGCTGACCTGGATCACTGCAGAGAGCAGAATGGAGATGAGTGAGAATATGTATGAAAATTCAGGATACACTGCAGACAGAAAACGGCATGACGGCAAGAATGTCTATGAAAACATGCATGCGAATGGACATACTGAGACCCGAAGAACAGGAAACAGACGGGAATCTGAGAGCTCAGGTGCACATCCCCCCTCGCTCTCTTTCAGTTTCTCTTTCCTGCAAGTGTAGTTAGGTTTAGTAAGTTAACACTCATCCACAGAGTGTGATGCTGTCTTGTTGCAGGATATGAAACAATTGGGAGCAGAAGCTGCAGGTGGGCTGCAGTGTGTCTGGGGCTGCTGTGTGTTCTCCTGCTGGCTGCCACCACAGTGCTGTGGGTTAAGTTAAACAAACTGACTACAGAGTGGGATAAGTTACAGACCAGTTACACCAACCTGACTAGAGAGAGAGACCAGTTAGAGACAAGCTACAAAAGCCTGACTGTAGAGAAGGATGGTCTTCAGCAGAAACTTTCCTATTTGGGTAAGTAGACTCATGTAAATCTGACATGAGCTTGAAGTTACATGAGAATATAGTACAAGAAAATAAGGGGTCTGAGGTCAGTCAAAATGCACAGAAATTTTAATATGACAGTCTGATATGTAAAATGAACAAGAATAAGCAGTAATAAATAGGAAAGAATTGTTGAAACTAAAAATGGTATGATACTGACATCTTTCAGTGTCGTGTGGGAGCAGGCAGTTTACCAGCTTAGTGCAGATAGGAGCAGGACTTTGTGATGAATTAATAGCCAAAAAAAAAAAATGATAATCCTTCAGTAGTTGGCATATATAAATAATATCTACCAGCAAAATAACAAAAATGAATAATCTTATTCTAATTAGAAGTTCTAAACTAGTGCTAAGCAGCCAATCACTGAACAATCACATAAATTGCTTTCTTATAGGCTACAGAAATGGCCTTTAGACAGTCAGACAGGCCACAGCTGTGGAAAGTGCACTTAAGAAAAGTGAAGACATGACAATACATTTGAATAAAGGCAAGTCTGAAACGTGGCAGTCATGTTCAGTTGTGACCAATGCAGATGGTAACCAGATATACAGGACTGTGGGCGGGAGCGGGACAGAATGTATAGGTTGCAGACAGGAGGGGGGCAAACCATGCAGGTTTTTTGTGGGAGTGGGATGAAATCTTGCGGGGGCGGGACTGAAAAAAAGGGTCCTCTGCATGACATCACTTTTTCTTTTTTGATCCCAATACTGAAACTTTAAGTATCAGATGATACTGATCCACAATTTCTTCATCTAAAACTACTAATGCAAATTACTCACTCTACTAACACGCTACAACCCCACAGGAAGAAACACACAGCTAACAACATCACATCACAGTGTGATTGTGTGACATTTTATGATAGGTTTGTTACAGGATTTGATCAGATTCATTTATTATTTCCTTCTGCTTTCTAAATCAGCATTTTTAGCTAATATCAACCCAACGGCAATACTCATCAATACCGATATGCCATCTCTAGCTAAAACAGCTGGGAAAATTGTAGATGGTGACATGAATAACAGAAGAGTATACAGAAAGGCCCTGACTGTCAATATAGGCACCCAAGTTTGAGTTGCCAAAGAAGTCAAGAAAAACATGCATAGGAGATCTTACAATAATTAGACCTTTAAGGATGTATCATTATTTTGTAGTTCACCATTAGAATCTGGACAAACCCTGGGACAAAGGCAGATGTGTCCACTGGTGAACCAAGACTATTAGAACTAGGGCTATAAATGTTAAAACTTTGTTAAAAACAAGCAAAATAAAACTTCTGCAACAATGCTAATGTCAGCTGGTGCCTCTATGAGATTCTAGTAGTATGTTAGCACTAAGATAATGGTGATTCACATGAACATTTTTTGTCCATTCTAGATTAAACGTGGGCATTTCAAGCTTGTAAAAGACACTCCATGTCTTCTTTAAAGCAGGAAACAGACATAATATACAATACATTGCAGTTTTACAGTGACTCCTTCAGTAAGGAGCCCTGGCACAGAGCTCCCACCACTGTTTTACATTTTTAACAACTGACTGAAACGCATTGGTTAGTCTACCACTGATACTCATAGTCTGTGACGTATCAAGGACTTTCAGAGGGCCCAGTGTGACATTTTTTCTCACAAAAGTGGTTGCGTACACTGTAAATCAAATGACTGGTTGATTCCAATATCAGTTTCTAATTGTGTTACTGGTTAATTTTGAGTTAGGCGTTTAGTTTAGCTCCTGAAGTCCTATCCATTGGCCATTTGGCTGTACCTACCTAAATACCAAGGAAAATCAATTAAAAATTACAGATATGTTTTTTTATTTTTATTTCACTGAAACCATTAGTTCTAGAAGGCCTTGAGGTTTCCCTTTACCTTTACCTTTTGGGGATTTTTGAAAATGACTGCTATTGCTATGTTACAAATTCAGTAAATGGTAAATCTTCAGTAAAACTGTGTGGACTAGGCCTATACATTAGTTGCAGGAAATATGTTTATATGCAGGGAATGTATTTGGCTGTGATGTTAGATGTAGACTAGTGCCATTCCATTTAATCTCTGCAGAATTTAAAAACTACTGACTATTGTCAATGCTTGATCAATCCCACACTGTAAATCTAACAATTTCATTAGTTGTAGTTGTGCTGCTTACATCATACCAGCGACAGCCTGCATGTTTTACACTTCTAGGGAAGTTACAAATACTATAAGTGCATTGTTGAAGGAACAGAATGGTTTTATTTTCCCAACGTAAATTATTATACTCAGCTTCCATTCATACACCAAAAACAACAACTCAAACTATAACTAGCTAACTGAGGCATAATGATATTATATTATAACACAGTTCACAGATGGAAAAATTATGATGCAACATGGAAAAATTATAATGCAGTTTCAGTTCCTCATGTATATCACTGTTGTCGGAAGAAAGCCTTGTATCTTCATTTTTGACGTTTTTCAGTTTTTTCACATAATTTGAAAGAACCTGTTGCTCTTTACATCGTATGTAAATATCACGATGAATGGACTGAAAGAAACGGCCCAAACTAACTTGGGAAAAAGTCTGGTTCCATTGACTTCCATTAAAAGTAAAGTATGTTTTTTTTTCCTTCTCCTGCAAAGTTACCATTTTGGAGATACAAGGTTTTCTTCCAACAACAGCGATATGCATTTAAGGGAGGATCTCAGAATAGAGATACGCACCTATTTAAATGTCCCGCTCGGTTTACCAAACTTTGATCAAGTAGTGGTTCTGGGTGGATTTTTCTCCACCTTTTAAAACTGTCTCGAAAATGTGGGGAGGCTTCCTTTAACGGCAGACACAATGCTAGACAGAAGTATGTGGAAAATAACATTAACTCTCAAAATCAAATATCATATCTGAGAAAATGCGGTGAAAAATGGGAGTGCAGTATGCTGGCACAGTGTTACTGTACCAATTCATTAATATTTAGTCATCTGTTTTGTATCCAGCTTGTTTGACAGTGCCACTCCTTCGCTGTGCTTGTAAAACCACACTCCTCATGAGCACAAAGTTAGTAGATGGTCCTGTACGCAGATTGAAGTTCTCTGTGCAGCACTAAAAGAATTGACTGTTAATTTCAGGCACACTGTCAATGCATTTTGTGGTTAAACTTTACAACCAGCCCAACTCTTTCAAAACTGATTTTTTTCCCACAAATATATCCCCAGAGTTATTCCACACCTTCTCACAGAATTCACTGTATTCCTGTGTTTGAATAGAAAGTTCCCATTTAGTCTGACTAATGTAAATTATATATAAATGAAGCCGACCAGCAGGGATGGATCTACTTCAGCTCCAGTGTTTACTACATCTCTACTGAGAAGAAGAACTGGAGTGAGAGCAGACAGGACTGCAGACAGAGAGGAGCAGACCTGCTGATCATAAACAGCAGAGAAGAACAGGTGAGAGAGTTTCTACTCTGTTTGACTCTAAATGGTCTGTGGAGGTTTAGAATGATTAGGTATAGTCTAAACTCTAATGTGCTTCACATGTGTAACCAAATATCACACTTCAACAGGACTTTACTGAAATGTTGAGAAGAGGTCAGATAGTTTGGATTGGTCTAACTGACCTAGACAAAGAGGGAATCTGGAAATGGGTGGACAGCTCAGCACTGACCACTGGGTAAGAAATCACTGAACTAAACTCTGGTCATGGTGCAGTTACTGAGTCTTACTCTGCGTCCACACTGGCAGCGACGCGTCGCTTCTAAATAACTTCAGAGTCGAACACGCAACAAAGCTGAGCGAAGTTTAACCTTATGCAAATTAGGAACAAAGCGATCTGACGATTAGCAATGGGAATTAAGCAGGGTGGTACCTGCTTTAGCCCCTTGCTAGGTTTCTGGGTATTTGTTCATTCAGTACATTGAAGGTGACCCTCATTTACAGTGTAGCCAGGCATTATACACGAAAAACAACAAGGGATTTAAAAGAGTAAACAAATTTATGACTGTAAAATTATAGCAAAGAAAACAAAGTAAGGCCAAAGTTGTTATTAAAAACAGTACATTAGACAAATTCACATAAAGAAATTTGAAAACAAATATGATAAACAAATCATAATCAAATAAAACCATTAAGCAGATTAGTAATAAAAATAAATAAAGCATCTGAGTAGGATGAGAAAAAAAATAACTAATAGGATTAATTAATAGGGAACAACATCAAATAAATGACACCCATAATAATAATAGTAATAATAATAGTAATAATAACAATAATTTGACCATGAAAACATCTGAAAAAGCTTGAAACCAAATCAACTAAAGCAGCTGCAGGCTGAGTGGAGGAGAGATTAAAACACTAAAATGGAGTTTTAGAGATTCCTGTAGTAAATTCCTGCTGGTTTGTGCGCTGCAGCTAAAGCAGATTACTTAATAAGCCAGTTTAGTAAAAGGTCTCAGCACCTGAAAGATGATCCAGTCAGCTGAATGAGTTTGATGGTTAGTACTGGGTGGGAAGGCCTCTGATTTGCAGTCAGATTGATTTTTCTGTGCACTCTGTAGCCAGTAAAGTGCGGAGTGTCATGGCATTAACTTGCATTTACTTGGTGTCCGTGAAACCATGGCAACCAACTCAAGTTCAGTTCAAGTTCAGAAACACCCACAGGAGTTGAGTGACCAATTATTTAGACAAAAAGAGGTGAAATATCGGTGATGGTGTGAACGCAGGGTGACTCCTCACTGCTCTGATAAACACAGTGGATTCTCTGATTCTCTCTTTCAGGTTCTGGGGACGTAATGAACCCAACAGTTTTGCAGGAGATGAGGACTGTGTTGTTACTGGCCATACGCCTGATCCTTTACAGAACTGGGCTGATTATCCCTGTAATCACCAGTTTGCTTGGATTTGTGAGAAGAGAATATTTAGCTGAACTGCTCATGTGAGGAAAAAGAGCATAATATAATATAAACCATAATTATCAGGCTTTAATTGCATTATTGCACTGATGTCTGTTGATTTTTCTAATGATAGAAGAAACAGATGTGTAGAGATAAAATATAAGATGACCCACAGCTGGTAGCTTGCAAACCACTAAAACTTGTAAAATGGAAGCAGTATGACTGTTACTGACTTCTGCAGATGCACAACATGCTGGGATATATTTAATATTTCTATCTTTGTCTTCTGTAATAATAGTTTAATCTAATTATTCTCTCCAGAAAAGCATTTTTGTAACATCTGCACTGTAAAAAGCACGGTCTTTTTCTGTTTTCTTCTTTATTGTTTTACAGATTTTATTATGCTTTCTGTGAATTTACAGACAATACCCATAAAATAACTTTATGCAGGGCCAAAAATTCTGTACATCTACAATAAAAACCTTTAGTATTTTACTTATAAACTTCTCTATTAAATGACTAACTTTCCATATAGTGGACACATTTTCAAGAAAACATCAAAACATACTTTTTTTTCCTTCTGGCAGGACATTGCTCTTGTTCTACACATAAATAACATCTTCACACCGCATTAAAACTATTTATTACAGAAAATGTTTTACAGTATGCATGAATTCCTTTTAACCTCAAAACTGCCCTAGTGCACATTTACAACATATGCCATTACAAATCAATCAGTTTAAAAAAGCTCCACACATGATAGTCGCTATGGATGAACTGCATAATATTAAGATATTTAAATTTCATACAAAGCAATTTTTGATGTGGCACAAATCTAAATCACAGTTTCGTTTGAAACAGCCAGTCAAACTTAACAACCCCCTAAACAACAAAGCAGAAGAACTAGAAGCCTGTGCTGTTCAATTTATAAACTTTTTATAATCTTTATAAATGGGTTTGTGGACAGTGTTGTTGCTCACATGAGGTTTGCTTACTTTACCGATCAGTAAGTTCTCCAGTTCAGTGAGGAACTTCAACAACTCGGTTGTTTCTCATGGTGTTTTTTTTTCCTTTCTGCTCTGATTTGATCTCTCATCCCATGTTGATGAACAGGAATAACTCCCTAAGAGCAAGAGGAAGAAACCGTGAGAGAAACGAAGACTAAAAAGGGGAACCTAACCTCCTCTGGTCGACGCTGGATAGCGAAACAATAATAAAATTAGTCATGTGAATAGAGGATGGGATCTTTACAATTACACAAATACAAATACACAATAATGAATATAGAATCATAGAGAAGAAACCAGTCGTCATTGGATAGAAGTATTTAGATTAACCAATGAAAATGAGAGTTAACATCAGTGACCATTTTCACAGGTGCATCAGTGTGAAACAAAGCTAGTTAGTATGAATATGAGAAGAACTCAGTATATTGTGAGTGAGTGAAAATGTCTATGATTAAATTGGTTCAGTTTGAGGGACCACCAGAGAACCCCCACTGACCAGATATTAAATGGAGGACAGATCATTATCAATAACCCATATTTTCTGTGCATCAGAAAATTCTGCTTGCTCAGACAGTATGGTGCAATCAGGGAAACCCCAGCAGAAAGAATTACAGTAAAAGAATAAAACTGGTCTTACTGTCAACCTAAAACTGACAGCCAGCAGAGGTCATGTGGTCAGAAACTAACCACAGTTTAATGCCAAACTAAATGAAGTATGATCAGTAAGGAAAATGCCAAGTACAGTGATTTTTTTTTTTTTTCAATTGAGACAAAACAATAGTCAGATTATGTGATATGAGGCCCCCATGAGCCAAGGGCCCCATGAAAATATAAATAAAAAAATAGATATATTGAACATGTTGATATACATAATTTCCAAAAAAGTTGGGGGCTGTGCAAAATGTAAATAAAAACAAAACGCAATGATGTGCAAATTATTTAAACCCTATATTTAATTGAGAATAGTACAAAGACAACATATCAAATTTTATTGTTTTTTGAAAAATATATGCCCATTTTGAATTTGATGCCAACAACACATTCCAAAAAAGTTGGATGGGGGCAACAAAAGGCTGGTAAAGTTGTGTAATGCTAAAAATATCTAGTGGTTAATTGGCAACAGGTCAGTAACATGATTGGGTATAAAAGAGCATCCTAGAGAGGCTGAGTCTTTCAGAAGTAAAGATGGGGAAGGGTTCACCACTCAAAGACTGCACGATCAAATTGTGTAACAATTCCAGAATAACGTTTCTCAACGCAAAAGAGCAAAGAACTTTTGCTTTTCATCATCTACGATACATAGTAACATTAAAAGATTCAAAGAATCTGGAGAAATCACTGTATGCAAGGAACAAGGCTGAAAACCAATACTGGCTGGCCATGTTTTTTGGGCCCTCAGGCGGCACTGCTTTAAAAACAGACATGATTCTGTAGTGGAAATCACTGCATGCACTCAAACACTTCTGAAAAACACTGTCTGTGAAAACAGTTTGTCACTGCATCAACAAATGCAAGTGAAAACTCTCAAACGCAAAGAGGAAAACATATATAAACAGGATCCAGGAATGCTGCCACCTTCTCTGGGCCTGAGCTTATTTACAATGGATTGAGGGAAAGTGGAAAAGTGTCCTGTGGTCCGATGGATCAAAATTTACAATTCTTTTTGGAAATCATGGACACTGTGTCCTCCGGGCTAAAGAGCACTCAGCTTGCTATCAGTGTACAGTTCAAAAGCCAGTATTCATGATGGTATAGGGGTGCATTAGTGCACATGGCATGGGTGACTGGCACATCTGTGAAGGCATCATTAATGCTGAACAATATATACATGTTTTGGCAACATATGCTGCCATCCAGATGACGTCTTTTTCAGGGAAGACCTGCTTATTTCAGCAAGACAATGTCAAACCACATTCTGCATTTATTACAGGAACTTGGCTCTGTTGTAAAAGAGTCCAGGTGCTAAACTGCCCTGCCTGAAGTCCAGACCTGTCACTGAAAACATATGGAGGGTTATGAAATGAAAAATATGACAATGGAGATCCCGAACTGTTGAGCAGCTGAAATCAAACAAGAATGGGAAAACATTTCACTTTCAAAACTACAGCAGTGTCTCCTCAGTTCCCAAACACTTACAGAGTGTTGTTAAAAGAAAAGGTGATGAAACACAGTGACCCCATCCCAACTTTTTTGGAATATGTTGTTGGCATCAAATTCAAAATGGGCATATATTTTTCAAAAAACAATAAACAGTTCTTTTTTTTTTCAATTTTTACCCGGTTTTCTCCCCAATTTAGTCTTTGCCAATTCCACCCGCTTGTTAGGACTCCCCCAATCACACACGACGCTATCAACACTAGGAGGGCGAGGCTAACACAGGCTTCCTCCGAGACCTGTGAAACCAGCCACCACTTCTTTTCGAACTGCCGCTCACGCAACGTCTTTGGACAGCTGAACGCGCTCGGAGGAAAGCGTCAACTGCCAGATCTGTTACGTCAGCTAACAGACGCCTGTGTTGACTAGCATCGTGCTTAGTGAGTGATGGGGGGAGAAAGGCAGCCATCCCACCCACCCAGAGAGAGCGAGGCCAATTGTGCTCTCTTGGACTCC